ATGCTCAACACTCCATCGAAAAGCGGCAGTCTTTCGGACCAAAAGATGCCCCATCTTGACTGGGACAATCATGCCTTCGAAGGCCTTCGAGACCATCTTGAGAAGGTAGGAGCTTCGTTCCATCCTGCCCATAACGAATGATGACACGCATGACTCAATATCCCTATCTTCAAGGTTCAACAAGCTGATCCGACAGGGAGTGGTGGCTATTTTCGATAGTCTTGTGTAAGCTATGCGCAAGACTGCCTGACAGTTAAAAACAAGCGAGATTTCTTTATCCTTCTCGTCTTCTTCTGGGCGTGGTTGACGTAACTCGCTCCTGACACCTTTCAGAAAAGCATCGCACCGAGCCAACGACTGCATAGCTCCGTTGAGAAGCGAAAGTCTCAGGGGGTCTTGGTCATCGCCATTGTCGTGCCTTGCAATCGGACATGTTGAAGCCAGGGCCTGGCAAACTTGTAATCTCTGCCACATGTGAACGACGACCGCGTGGGTCAAGACGAGGGCAGTAAAAGTCGACACGCGGTACGGTACCGTGTCGGCATGATACCTTCCTTCAAGTAGAATATCAACAAGGACATCTTTGATTGTGTGTCGTCGGCTGTTTGGTGATCTTTTCGAGGCAGCTGTGCGAAGCTCTCGCCACTCTGCAGGCGACCTCGCGTTCCACATCTTTTCATCTTGATACGCTTCGATATCCAGATCTTGGGTCGCGTGAAATCCAGGATTGACGTCGTAAATCACCATTGTGAGGGTACTCTCTATAAAGATGCCCCCCAGCGCGCGTTTCCACGACTCCAGCTCTATCCACGTGTGCCACGTCATCTCGGATGGTTCGGTTTGAGTGTTTTCTACCGCAGTGCGAGCCTGATTGTAGACCTTTGACGGCGTGAAACGACACTAGTCAGTATCATTGTCTCGAAGTCGTTTGCAACCGCTCATGGAGGGACGGATTGACTCACCAAAGTGTAGAAGCCATTTTCTTTCATCGTTGCGTCAATGAGGTCCTTCTCCCCGCTCATGACTGCGTAAAAGCTAAGAAGGATTTTCGCTTGCACAAACCAAAGGAAGTAGTCCTTTACCATGGATTTGGGATCGTCCTTGGTTGGTTGAGGCAGCTGTTCCACACTGCGGATTGCCAAGTCATAGAGATGACGCGCGCGACGACGATCTAGGCGATAGAGAGCGCCGATGGAACAAATGGAAAGCACCAAGGGGCCCGGAGTGTGTGCCAAATCAAAAGTTTGCATGTGAATGATCGGGAAGTGGCTATGAAAACTCGTTATGTAAGCAGATAGGAAGCCTTGCAACGTTTTGGCAGTGGGCAGCTGAAAGTCTCCAGCTGATATTCTCAGTCTTGAAGACATGTCTTTGCGAAGAGACGTATGCGTGTCTTCGTCAAAGGTCACGGTCGGATATTGTTGACGCCCGTCTTCGAGTAGAGAAGGGAGATCGCTGCTAGCCGAGGGTATATCGCAGCTAGCCCATCCAGGGGGGCCTTCGCTTGAAGGGTCCACAGTGTTGGCATGGCCTGGAATTAGTCTTCGATTGTCTCTCTGCTCAGCGGTGTTACTTGGTATGGGCGAGAGGTCAAATGCGCCCATGCCAAGATGGGCCAGCGTTGTCGGTGAAAACAACTCATCGTTCTCCGTGGATGGACCAGCAGCACCGCTTTTCTCCGGTGGATTTTGTGGTTGACAAAAGGGTTGCTCTCGTGAAGCACCAGTCTCAAGTCCGTTTTCTGCCGGATATTTACTTGACATGTCCACGGCAATACTTTCGAAGGGCAGATCCATGTCCATGAATAACGCTGGGTCTAGCGGCGGCAACTCTTCAACTGGATCGACGTCGTGAAAGTACTGGAGAGGGAGCAAGTTTCCTTCCTGTTGAGCATCAGGCCGGAAGATATCTGCGGGACGACTTTCGGTGGCTCGGTCGAGGGTGCTCGTATCCCTATGCCTCTCAAAGGATTGATCAGTCAATGGCTGAAACGACATCAACATTCGTTCAAGTTCAATTTCGGGATCGGCTGCTTGCCGAGAATATGACTTCCGTCGTGAGTTGGCTCGGCGCGCTTGACTGGAACATGGCGATGTTGTGGAAGAAGCGGCGCCATCGTCTGGCGACTGCGAGTCTGGAGATTCCTGGCCGGATCTTTCATCTTCCTCTTGGTCTATGTTCATGCAGTCATTGCCCCTCGACGGCGAGAACACCGTTGCTTGCGCCACGTGCAGTGGCGCACATGCCACTGTCACCACATCTCCAATCTTTTCTCTTGCTTGCTCTTTCGCATGAAGAGTGCGCTCGTGTCTCGTAACAAGGTCCCTGGAAGCTCTCGATTAGCAGGAAGTCGTGTGGCTTGTCCGAGATCGAAAAGTTTCTGCCAATACGTACTTCCTCGCGTATGACTTGTGACAGTATCGACACACGTAAGGCTTCTCGTGCGTATGGGTTCTCTCGTGACGAATGCAGTGCTCGCTGCGCTTAAAGGCTTTCGAGCAATGCGCGCACTTGTACTGGCGTCGTGGTCGACCTCTTCGCGCGGCGCTGGAGGGACTTCCTTCGGGCCCTGAAGACATGGACGTTTTGACTTTATGCTCCCTCTCTCTGAACGCGATGATCTCGTCTCGATTGTTTACTTCCGTCGATTCGAATAGCCTCAAGCAGTGGATTGGTAGCCTCAAGTGCCATGATGTGGTGTTGGCAAGGAACACTGCGGGCAGATCGGATTCATGAGATGCCGACAGAGGCCGGACTTGACTTGCGGGGGACCAGGACATCCCCTACATTCTTCTCCGCACCTGTCGCGTATTGACCCGTTAGTGTCCTGGGAGGTCTGAAATCCACGGCGTGCGACTCGCTGATGGCTGATGAATCAGGGCTGTGTCAGCTTCTTCCGCACCGAAGGGCCCCATCCTAGCGTCACATCTCATGCACTACACACTCGGCAGTGATGGGAGGGCAAACCCAGCAAGGTTTACGGCGCCTTCTGCACCCCAGAAGCCGCTAAGTGAGGTTTATATTGGCAAAGGCTGGGGAAGACTGCGGGGAAGTGGCAGGGGCCAGCGCTCACAATCGACAACTCAAGCAGCATGATGTGAGGGATCGTTTCTTAGCTAGTAGTACTTATCTGCCCAGGAAGAAATTCGGTCCCAACGCTTCATGGCCTTCCATGAGCTTTTATTCTGTTCAGGACAGTGCCATCAAACATGGGGTGTAAGATTGACATTAACACAGCATCGCTGCCGTCCTTGATGAACTCGGCATCATGGGCCATTGCAATGTGCATCCCATACTCCTCAGCTGCTTTTCTGAGTCTGGAAATTGTATCAAGTGCTTTGTCTAAATCTTCATGCAAGCAGAAACGGGATCCGTCGTCCAATTTGACATTGGCGATTTCTCGGCGACCAAGAAAAATATCCCTGCTTGGAAGTAAGCCCAGTCGGAAGATGAGTCCATTGCGGGAGGCTCCATGAAGGATGGTGTGGAAACCCTCGGAATAATGATGTTTGACGGATATGCACTGACCTTGAATGACAGCAGTCACTTGCCATGATGATGCGTTCGCCCGATTCTAAATGGGCGCATACTGCGAGATTTCCTGCCATATGCCCAGGGGCTTCGATGATCCAAAGACTGCCATCTCCGAAATAGTCCAGTGCTGATTGGAATGGGCCCCAGGACTGCCACGAGCCTTCGAGCTCTTGAAAGTTCTCCGTCCGAACTTTGGCATCGCCGAAAATTCGAGAGTCCCATTGAACCATCGGCTGGACTTCATCATTCTGGATATGCCCTGGAGAGCAGTGCGAAGCTGTTCCGCGGCCAAAGATGACCTTGGCATTGGGAAACTCTTCTTTGATCGGACGACAGTGATCCCAATGTGCATGACTGCTAGCCAATCAATTGTTCTGGTATCCAATTAAACGTACTTGGATTTGCTTATAAAAATACCTGAAGAGCACTGTATCAATGTCCGAGGTTTTCACACCAAGGTCTTGCAACTGGTCTGCAAGCGGTCTACGTGGCCCGACTGGATTACAGCTTGTCCAGTGGTAATTCAACACGAACGGAGTGTACATTTGTTGGTTCTGTTGAACGTCAAAGCGTGAGTATTGCACAACCATTCAAGTTTCTTGACTTACATCACTGATACCAAGATCCCAAAGGATCTTGCGGCCTGATACTCTATGATGGATGTAGAAACACCAGTTGTAAAGGAAATATGGCCTGTCATGCCCATCTGCGTGGATCTTTGTGTCGTCTGTAGTAGTGAGACCTCCGCCATCAAGTAAGGTCAATTCGACAGCACCTCTCGAGAATGGAAGAGTTTTGATGCCCTTCATGTTGTTTTGATAAGAGTGTGTCTTGCTGCGAAATTTCCTTGGTAGTTACCCCAAGCCATCATGCAACCAAAGCGGATGCGTCCAGTCTTCATATAATATTGTGTCAAGCTACTACCTCCACGTCGAAGCTCCCCCGCATTGTTTTGCGTGGTATTTTGCGTGTTAACAAAGCCACCAGGGTCCTTGTTCCTCAATCCGAACTCACGTCAACACTCCCCGTTGGAATGGCGAGGTGCAGCACAGGATTGCCAATGCTGTTGCATGGTGGAGAAAGAATCTGCATAGATTATCATCCGCTTACTTGATTGCTCGTTGGTTCAATCTTCTTAGAGCTGATTGTTTGTGAAATTAATATTTCACCGCCACACCCTTTGTTTGCTCAATCGTTCCATAGTGCAATTTTTTCCTCTCAGCTTTCTGTTTGCTTACCGCCGCTTTCGCTTTACCACGTGGTAAAAGGCGTCCATGTCGGTAGATAAATTACATCCGTGTTGTAGGTATTTGGGCACATGATAACATCTCTGCTGGCTTGCGGGGAAGACATTGCCTCATCAAAGAGCGATATGACACACTATCAATCATCTTGGACATAAACATTTAATCTCACTTCTTGATAATACTACAGCATTCCATTCTGTTACATAGACAGCCAGATAGTCACAGAGCTGGCTTCGCCTGTGCGTCGATATCAAAAGCCTTGTATCCCGTAAATAGACTATTCGGGTCCCACCGCCTTCGAATTTCCATGAAGCGAGCACGAGCTGAATCTGTCCATACTTTGATCTGGAACCACCTCGATGTCAACAGTGCTGTCGGCTATCATCAGTCAGGCAGGAGAGAAAACATACCTTAGGTGAATGCAAAGAGTTCTTGGATTGGTCAAAGTCGGCACTGTAGATCCCGCAGGCAACCGCTTCAGCCTTTTTGTACGAGGCCCGCATGGTTTCTCGGACTCGGGGCGCAAGGGCAGCGTCCTTCCAGCCACTGAATGTTGATATGTAGTACTGCTGAGGAATACTGAAGACAGCATCTCTCTCATCTGGTTTGATAGTGTCGCAGATGTATATGCAGCCAAAAGATGACTTTGTTGGCAGCTCGCACATAGCGGGCTTGACGGCTTCAATTAACTGTGACGTGAATTAGCAGTGCATTAGCATTGGATAAAGTCCATCATTGAAAGTTTAATGTGTTTTCCCGTACCTTTGGAAGAGATACCGAAGGATCGTTGAGGATACTGTTGATCCCCCATTTCTGGTCCGGTGATTCTGGATTGATCTGTCGCTGAAGCTCAAAGAACTCCTCCCAGCTCGCTTCTGCCGTGACCTTTTCCTCAGTAAGGCAGTCCTTGATGTTCCCAGGGACTCCGTCCCAGACTTCTAGCATTGCAGCAGCCTCGGCCAAAGTATCTGCGTAAGCGCAAACATTGATAGCCATCACCAAAGGCGATGATTCAGGAACAACTTCCACCGCTTCATTTTCAAACAACTCCGGGTGAAGTATACAAATGGCCGACTCGGTAAACTTTCTTGGCATGGCGTCATTTCGTTCGAAAGCAAAAGTGAGTAAGTCTTCGAACTTATCACCAACAGTGAATGTTGTAGATCGCCAGAATAGTCGCTTCTTTGGTATAGTTCGGCTCCAGATTCTGGTCACAACTCCGAAGAATGCTTGCCCGCCGCCTCGAGCAGCCCAGAAGAGGTCTGCGTTTTCTGTCCGGCTTGCAATCAACACTCGACCATCCGGAACAACAATTTCCAGTCGAACAATCCACTCTGTGATTGTAGCTCCCCATGCTCTCATGAAGAGACCTTGGCCGCCTGCTAGACAGAAACCTCCTAGTGCTACGTCAGGCGCATGCCCAAAAGGAAAGAATCTGCCAACTGCGTCTGTGGCCTTCCAGGCTTCATAAACGCGAATGCCGGGGCCCACCTCGACCTCCTCGGTGACTTTATCGTATTTGACGTGGTGATTAATGTTGCTCACGTCGATAAGAATTCCGTTATGGACTAGTGAGGGTTTGGAAGGGAGGTGTCCTCCAGATCGAATGCCGACTGAGACCTTTAGCTCTCTGGCCCTACGAAGTGCTTCGACAACATCTTGAGAGGTCTTTGCCACATGTATCTCAGTTGGATATCTGTCAGTCTCTTCTCTATTGAAGTAGAAATTCCGTAATTCTTCGTATTGTGCGGTTCCACGTCTAATAGCGATGCCTTCGTCGGGATTGGAAGATGCCATGTTGGAAACAATATTGCCCGTGATGCTGCTATAATCTACGTGTATCCATCAGGCAAGAGACATATATCCAAGTCATAATTTTCAATCTGATTCAAAGTTAGTCTGCCCGAGTTCAAGACTCGTAAATACCCCACATTGGGCCATTGTTGGCGGACAACTTGTGTCAGAACTAAGCGGATGTGGGGGCGGGGATGGATCAACCGCTTGAGTCTACATGTATACCTACCCCATGGCGCCGCGGGTGCCTATGCCCGCTCATTGTGATAGTCCTTACATTGAATACTTTGTTTAAAAAAACCTCATAATTAAGCCGCAGGACTAGTGGACCAGGGTATGGGTGGAAAGCCTGCAACCTCAAGCTCATCTTACACTTGAATTGTCGAGCCAAAGAACTCTTCATTTCAGATACCAATAAGAGGCAAACAGCGGTGGACCTTAAGAGAAATGAGGAATTATCCAATTGGACCTCATAAAATTTCCAATCCATCCTTTGGGGAAGGCTAACGAGCTTTGAAGTTGTCGAGGTAGGCCAACAGACAGGAGTTGACACGAACATCAACGTCGATATGGTTGAAAGGCGCACACGAGGGAAGTTTGCAGTTCTTAGAGGTCGGAAACAACAAAGATAATAGCATAATGTAGTTTCTTATCAGCATCTCATTCCATCCATCGCTGCTTTTAAAAAGAGAAAGAAAAAAGGATTGATTCATTAGTTTCTCTCTGCTGCCAATAGAGGAAATGCTCGTTTCATCTCATCAAGCTTTGACTGAGACGACCCCGAAACGCTCCAGAGAGCGCAGCACCGGCCATGTACGAGATGGACAAGCGAGAAGACAATTGGCTCACCTTACTTTAGCTCCGGTCGTCTTGTCTTTTGATCAGATAAAACACCAAACTTGGCTGAAGCGTGCACTTCGTAGGTAGCGCTAGCTACTAGATTGGCGGAAGCTTTCTGCGTGTCAGCAGCTTGCCACACCTTCCAAATTCAACACTCTCGGCATGATCTTCTTCGGATCCCGAGTCAATTTGGAGTTAAGCTTCCTCTATGAGGCAGTCTCCATGCAGGTACGATGCCTCGGGAGAGAGTCTACATCCCATGTTACGCTTGTTTGGACATCTTAAAACGCTCGACCTTCCCCAGGACGCACTCTAGCGTGCGTGCCTTTTTTATAACAGTAATTTATGCCAAGAAGCTTGCCACAATGCGATATCTCGGCGCTGTCTCTGCATTCCTGGGGTTGATGCCCCTGGCGGAAAGTAAGAGCTCTTACGTCGCTGACTTGTCCATCTTGGCATTCGCCGGCACCCCGGTTGGGAAAGTTGTGCCTTTTAATGGCCGTAAGTGACTATTATATCGCCGAATCTTGCGCTCAAGTGTCATATACTAACAGAAACAGTTGACCTTTACGTATCGATGCCGCAAAATAAGAGCGAAAAAGGTCCAGATCCAATGCGACAATTTGGAGTTCTCATGCTACCTGACGTTTTTGGAATTCAGTCGACGGAGAACATGCTGTGAGTAAACCGAGAATCAATAATTCTTCTTCAGTCTAGCTTCGTACTTCGAGTAATAGCTAATCCTCTCAAAGTCTCGCCGACAGCTTTGCCCGCGCCGGGTACATTACTGTTGCCCCGGACTTGATGGACGGCAAGCCAAGGACCGAAGGCTCCATGTCAGGGTTCAACGCAAGCGAGTTTTTCAAGTCGCATGGACCTAGCGTCACAGACCCCAAAGTTGAGAAAGCCATCGCGTACATGCGAGAGCAGATGGGCGTCCGTCACATTGCCTCGACTGGGTATTGTTTCGGTGGGCGATATGTCTTCCGAGCACTTGGTCTTCCTGACAAAAAGGGAGTGCAGGTTGGGTTTGCTGCACATCCAAGCGCACTCGGTGATGACGAAATCAAGGCTATTAGAGGACCTGCAAGTTTAGCCGTGGCTGGTAAGTCCAAGTCCAGGGATTCTACATTTCCCTCCTTATGACATTGGTGTAACGTACGACACTAACCTCTACGCCGCACAGAGGGGGATACTGGTATGTTGACAAAAAGAAGGGTGGAGATTGAAACAGCCATGGGAACTACTGGTCAACCGTTCACGATGGCACTTTATGGTGGAACACCGCACGGCTTTGCTACACATCCTGACCTCAACAATCCCGTGCAAAAGGCTGCGAAAGAAGATGCGTTCCTACAAGCGGTTCGCTTCTTTGAGACATGGTTATGAGGAAACCAGTTCACTCGAGTAAATTTACTTGCATACAGCTATCGGAAGATACCTGTATGTTCAGGTGTGCTGAACAGCTAGAGAAAGGGCGGGAATCATCGCCGTGGTATTGTTTAATGATTCAATTGAGAGTTACACTATTAATACTCCGAGTGGTAACGAGACGTGGAAGACGGAACCGTATTCTGCGAAAAGTTTAGAGCAACATACATCCATTTCAAGTATACATTCGTAATCGCCCAGCAGCACCATTGTGGTCATGGAACAGGTTGAACCATTGTCCTGATACGTAAGTTCTGGTTGTCAGCGGGCTGCATTAGCGTGCATTGGCGGCGGAAGGTGGCTGACAGTGAAGCAGTTCATGTTCTCGAGTTTGGCAGATATCGTGAGACCCAGTGAGAAATATCAAATAATGATGTGACCTAGAGAAGGTCTCAATTATTTATAAGAAATCTCGTCTACCCATCGAGTTCACTTCATCCCATAATCATTTATTTATGGACTTGACTGTTTAGTTCTTTTTGCTACTACTTACCTCCCTCGTCTCTAGGCTCCTTCGAGTCACATCAGAAACCCGATATTTCACATTGCCAAAATGTCTCTCGCCTTCAGCAACAAAGTTATCATTGTGATTGGCTCTGCATCTGGAATGGGCTTAGCTACAGCAAAGACTCTGCTCAATGAAGGTGCCAAGGTTGGGATGTCTGACGTCAACAGCGCGGCTCTTGAGAATGCAGTCAAAGGACTTGACGCAGAGCAACAAGGCAGAGTGTTCTCCAGAGCCTCAGATGTCACAGACCGCTCATCGATCCGTGGCTTCCTAAGAGACACAAAGTCGCATTTCGGCAAGGTTGATGGCGTCGCCAACTTTGCCGGCTGTGGTGGTCATGAATTGGGCACCCAGTCGATCTGGGAAACCAGTGACGCCGAATTCAACTTCATCACCAATCTTAACATCAAGGGGGCATTTCATGTACTCGCTGAAGCTCTGATGCCCGACTTCCTATCTCACGGCGGAAGTTTTGTTCATGTCGGAAGCATGTTCTCTCTCCAAGGCTTCCTGAAGGGTGCGGTGTTTGCCGCTTCCAAGCATGCGTCCCTGGGTATGGTTCGCAGTGCCGCTAAAGAAGTCGGCGACAAGGCTAGGGTCAATTGTGTGTTACCGTAAGTTATTCGCACTCTTCCCTTTGATTGAATGATGTTGATGAAGAGGCAGCGGTGCTATTGACACGCCGATGCACCAGGCCAATTTGGCTAGAGTGCCCAAGGACTTCCCTACCCCAATACTTGTAGGAATGGCCCAAGAAGTTGCCGATGTGACCGTTTTCATGCTCAGCGACAAGAGCACCTTTGTCAATGGAGCCGCTTGGAGTGTCGACGGGGGTGCCGGTTTGTAATCTAGCCCATGCTCACAACTCGCAGTTGCACTTGGTTCATGTTACTTAGGTTGAGGCTTTGGTCTTCAGGCAACTCCCTTGCAACAGAACGGCACTGTCTGCTGCCTCAAACCTGAAGTTTACGGAAGCTGAGGATCATCGTCCTCGTCGAGGCCTTAGCAATTTCATTTCACAATGAATGAATCTTAACTCTAGTCGCTTGATTTGAAACAAATTAGTGACTCTCTCTTTTTGTCCTTTGTGAACACCCGTTTTATATGTCATAAGATTTTTCATTACTGCTACTATTTCGATAGAGCTCCAGTCTGAACTGAGGTAGTCTTCATTTCATTTCTTCGTCCAGGGCTCTTAAATGAAGTCGCTCCTTCCGGTCGATGATGCCATGCCACAAATATCCACTTAAAGGATAGCCTCCTTCGCATCCTCGCCGATCAAGAAGACGGGCTCCTTGTTGCTGTAGTTGGGGACGTCCTGCATGACCTTGGCCGTGTCGGGTGAAGCGAGCGCCTTGTGAATGCTCTCAACGCTGTCGAAGGTGAGAATACCGGCGAAGGCGTACTTAGGCTGCTTTCCATCGGGAGACGCCGAGTACTTGGTGACCTTCCAGGACTGAACGCCGGCCGACTTCCATGTGGCTGCGGCCATGGGCATGTGGCTCTCGACGTAATAATCGATGTTGTACTTGGCATCGGCCTCGTTGGGGTAAAGGACAGAGACGGTGGCAGGCATTTTGGTGGGTTTTTTTTTGTTTGTAGTCCAGTTGTCTGGAGGAATATGCGTTCGAAATGGTGGCTGATGAGTGATTTGAGCCAAGTCTGGTGATAGGTATTTTGAATTGAATTAATCGTTGTAAATCAAGTCTAGACCGCCGGGACGCGAAAGGGATAAATACCTCCGCCCGTCGTCCCCTCACTGACGTAAGACAAAACTACGAATTTCCATTGGGGCGGAGACACGGCTTACCAATTCTCCCTTCTGTCGCAGTCTTTTAGGTTTCCACTCCGTGGATTCCGGTGCGAATGGTGGCCCTTGATGACAGCGTGCCAGGTGGAGCGGATTCGGGCGCTCAGTGCTCCGTCTCTTGAATGTTGACTCGATCTCCCGTGCCTCGGCATGCCTCGGACACACGGAGTTCTGAGCGGGGAAGCTTGTTCTGCAAAACCCCGCTTCTTGTTCAGTCGGACTATGATAGTAATCAGTGATAGTTGATCGAGTTTATTATCGGTATCGGTTCCAGCTGACCACGCGACTGCTTGGTCCAGGTTTGATTCGAGTTCAGTAGGCGGTCTGATGTGGCAATATATCAAGAGCAGCACTTGTACACACTAAGAGAAATGTCATATCAAGATTTAAAGTCGGTCTTTCAGTAAGTGACTTCACTTCATTTACTCAATATACATATAACCCACAGAATACTATGATCCGTTGATGACCCAGCGTAAAGATCTAAGTACACATGTGGATTCATTATGTTGACGATCGATCCGCCCGCACTTGATTGGTATCCTGTTTACTGCGGATGTGCAACAGAAAGGTTATCATAGAGAGCCCCGGTCCGGAACACTCGCACTCCCGTGGTTCCCTTTGTACTCTTCGACACGATGTGCGTCAGCTTAGGCGCACTCATATCATCAACAAAGACCTTAACCTCCTTGTTGACCACAGTCACCCTTAGATGGTAATTCGTTCCAGCCTGGATCGGTGTCTGGACAGATGCTAGTTGAGTCCAGCTCTGGTCCATTTGACCCAGAATGACCTCGCCCGATGCGTCAATTGCAGCGTAAAATCCAGTCAAGCTATCGATTCCTGCGGAAGCGCTCGTAACACCGAAAAGAACTCCCGCATCACCAGAATCTTGAGCATTTGACCCAACATCTGGATCGACGAGGGCGATGTCGATATCAAATATCAGGTCTTCGAATCCTGTGTTCTGAAGGGCCTTCCCACTTGTGGTCTTTTCCGCCTTAAGCTTCCCGTCATTGACTAAGAAGGACCCTTCAAAAGAGGTCTTCCACCCAATCAGGTTCCCGTCATCAAAGTTGTCCTTGACGAGCATCGTGACGGGCTTGATTGTCCCATCCTCATTGAATTCCATCCTATCATAGGCGAGTTGACGATGATTGCCGTCGCTGTCACCCAGTGGCCGGCGGTGATAGAAGATGTACCAGATGTCGGTTCCAGGGACATTAATGACCCCGTTGTGGCCAGAACCCGTTGCCACAGCGGTATCCTGCTGAAGGATCTTGGATTCTCGGTTGAAAGGGCCAATGGGCGAATCCGAAATGGCGTATGAGACTGAGTAATCTGGGCCCGTCCAGCCTCCTTCAGACCACATGAGGTAGTACTTCCCATTGCGCTTGAACATCAGAGAACCCTCCACATAGTTCTCGGGTGTGATTTCTTTGAACTGAGTGCCATCTGAAAAGGTACCGATACTGACCATATCGCTGTTCAGCTTTGCAACATTGGCATGCGCGTGGCCACCATAGTAGATGTACGCCTGACCATCATCGTCGATGAAGACATCTTGATCAATGGGCTGTGCCCCATTATGGTACTCGCCAATGAGCGGCTTCCCGATCGCATCTTTGTAAGGGCCCTCGGGCTGGTCTGCAACAGCAACACCAATACCACCAACCTGCGTTTCTCCCTCTTGGATATCATTGGCTGCGAAGTACAGGTAGTATTTTCCGTTACGTTCAATATGGGCAGGCGCTCACATGGCTCTGTTTGCCCAAGATACTTGGGCTTTGGTAAGGATGTTCGCATGCTTAGTCCAGTGTATCAAGTCGGTCGAAGAGAAAGCATCGAGATAGGTCTGCTCGTCATAGGCGTAGGATGAGGTCGGGAATACCCAATACTGGCCCTTGTAGACGCATGTGTCGGGATCGGCGTACCACCCGTCCACGAAAGGGTTGCCGGCTTCTGAAGTGGTAAAGTCTGGGATCACTCGCCTCATGGTTGCGGCGTATGAGCCACTTGAGAAGAGAATGGCTGTGGTGTAGAATGCTAACTTCATTTTCGGCGAGTCTGCGTGTCAGACGTTGAGATGGTGGCGTTATTGAGGGGTAGCGGCACTATGCTTCTGGAACAAAGAAAGCCTTCTTGGACGTACAGAGGCTTTTTGAACTTTTGAAGTCGCACCCAGTAAAGAGAGAAACCTCGCCTTGCTACGACAGGGCAAATCGCACATTTAAGTGACATTTTTGGATTCCCAAAGTCCAACTTAAGTTCCTTAGGAGCGTGCAGGAGGATTTTAGCGCTCATCTGTAATTCTGCTGCCTGGCGGCTATGATACCCTAGGGGAACTTTGGAGGCAATTGCTATTATGCTAATCCACTATGACGATCACCTCCAGGTACTAGACATGGGCTTGAGCGTGTTCTTTTGGCGAATTAAGACCAAAAAAGATCCTTCCAATGGAATGCTGTGCACTCAAGTCACTCTTTCAAGCCTCCTGGAGCAGGATTGACAACTGCAATGTTAACAAGGTATCGGAGGGAACTTTGTACAATTATTGTGCAAATGATAGCAGGAACTGTTGTACATCAAATGCTCGAGACTACTTTAATCTCCTGGATAACTCCACAGAGCCACTATACTCCGTCTCATCATGTCCTCGTTTGAAAGCGTCAGGTGGTATCTTAGCGTCTCCTCTCTTGGGGTCAAACTTCACATCTCCTACTTTCCAGGACCTCGGAACATGGCTGTATTGACCTGTCTGGGTCTCCGTCAATGGGTCCTTCCACTCTGCCAACTCGAGATCCGATCTCGATCTCCTCACACCTGGACTCGCTACGGTAGCTGTTGCAATAGAAGCTGCTCCTAGACGACGCATCATTGACTCTTCGTCGCTAGCGAATCGAGCCGGTGGTGCTTTGTGATCCCGTACCAATGCTCGTAATATTGGTATGGTTGCAGCGATGATGGTTACAACACTTTCTGCTGCACCCCAGATTACCAACTCAACAGTATCGATGATGTCGAAAGCTCCAATCGCAGCAATAGTTCGGATCTTGATAAAAGACACAGCACCGGCGCTGGCGGAAGTATTCGTCAGCCATATGGATTTCCAACCTCCCAAGGGGATGACTCAAGCAGACTCACAATACGCCCATACTCATAGCAATTAAAACACCAAATTTCTCTTTTTTGGTCATCGTTAGTCCCCATATAATCTTCCAAGGCAAGATGGCCAGTACGATATCCATCCCTCCAGAGTACGATGCGGTGAAGACATTGTAATTCATCATGATACTCTTCGGCCAGCAGGTACCAGGTGTTGAGGCTGTTCTCCAAGTTTTCTCGACTGGCCAACATTGTATCCATGTGAAAAGTACATTGACGCCCAGGAATGTGTTGATCGAGATGATGATGAACCATACGAGCAGCTTCATCCATCGTTCAGATGATTCTCGTGTGATTCGAAGCAGAGTCAGCGCAAAGGAAGTCTTGCTCCACGCTGCCGCGATGATTGAAAACGACCCGGAGAGATTGGCGTAGAGCAGTAGCCATGACCAGTTTCCTGGTGTGATATCCCAGTTATGCTTGCCAAAGTCGTACGATACGTCGATAGAGATGAACGATCCTAAAGCTAGCAGAGCGCACTGCTTGTTATTAGGTACTAGCAACTTCGTCTACAACTGCAGTCAAGGTAGTCTTACCCAGGATGCAACCAGCACATGGTCGTCTAACCACAGTCCTCTTCCACGCGAGAATTTGCAGTATATCCGTAAGCCGATGAATGCGCCAGCGATACCAATGAGAGTCCACACTGTCGCGAGCAACCCCGGACCATAGTCGTCGTGTGGGAGTTCGTCCCACGGCGTATCGTCCATAACCGCGAGATGTGCTCAATCACGACGCGGTGTTGAGAACCACCACCGCATGAAGACCTCTTCGATGTCGCCCCGGCTGCCAAGGGGCAAGGTGGTATAAAATGGTTCCAAAGATCGAGGAGATCCCCGGACAGGGACCTGGTTCGCATCTGAACGGCGGTGCATGGCTGGCTATAAAAGAACCGGTCAAGTGGCCTTCCCGCCCCTTGCCTTCCGCACATCACCCGAAAAAAGGAGTTCAGCCGGTAGACCAAACGCTACCACGACAGTTTTATGGTTCCAAGGGAGTCGATCCCTTCAAGGGTTGCAGTGCTACATCACTCGTGGCCTCACCCGCTGTCTGGCAATTGGAGAAGAAGGGGTGCCCCTGAGTGTCAGACCCGGAAGCGAGATGAAGTAGCAGCGAAGAGTATCATCCCCCGCACTCCCGCCCGGCCGAAAAGTCAGAGCACGGGCGGATCGGGCTCTCCCGCAGCGTGACAGCCGTTGGAATTGGCGGCACGAGGGCTGAATCAATTCATCGTGGCGAGCTTTGCATGTATGGCGGTGGATTTCCCACCAAGGCCATTTGAGAGATGGGAGCTTCGAATGGTGCTCGCATACCATCAGATATGTACGCTCGGGCCTGAGCAAGGGGCTTACCCATGGTTCTGTCTCATCGATCCCCCGGATTCCAGCCCAAGTTGGCATGGCCACGAGGAACACGAACACGACCTTCAGAGTCCGATATATGAATGAAGTTCACAGGCCAGTATATCCAAGACACAAGGCGTACGAGGAGTCTGACTCGGGAATGATACCCTGGTGATGTTGCCTTACTGTTTGAACTTTGAGGGCTTGAGTTCGCCGGAGTGGAGTCTTTCAACTCAATGCCCCGACCGATCATTCTCTCTGTAGGACATATCGGGGGCTGTTTAATATCTTCCTTTCAACTCACCCTCTCAGACTTCGGCGAGGTATCTTCTTATTTGAGGTCGCAATTGTGCAATATCACTCATGCAAGCAAGCCTGATGATGAGACTCACAACTACTTTTCACAAATATCTGAAGCTGTGGTTGACTCTGCTATCAGTACTCTGCACCATTACCCAGCGTGAAGGGGCCAGATGAAGACCAAATGAGATACACTAATCTACACCGTCAGGCTGCCAGTCGACTTGGGCTTAACCTCAGTATATTCACTACCATTTACTGACTTCAATCGCAGACAATTACATCCCGCATTCGCGTTTCCACTTCCTGCAAGACTCTTGTGGCCATTTGCAGCCGGGTTCGTTCAGCCCTTTTGCCTGCGCCCATGGACCCTTGGCAACATTGAGCAGACCGAAGCGCGACCCTCTCAGCGGGCCTGCCGCTTGCGTGAGTTTATTTCCGGTTCTAGACCACCAGAGAGAAACCGCAAACAGCAACTTCACCCGGACATCCCGGGAAGCAGCCACTCCTCGGCCGGCTGGGTATTGGTCTCGATTACTTCCATGATTTCGGAGAGATTCCCCCTTCAGCCCGGAAGAGGGCTTCCGTGCTCGTGCCTGGACTGATTTGGAGGCATTTCTCAACTCTAGCACACCAAGTTGCTGAACTAGAAAGCACCACCTCATGGGTTGTTTGAGAATTGTCCATCTTATTCCGCCACCAGCTGCTTCCGTGTTCAATTGTCCGGGGAGAAAAAAAAAACAGCCAATTCCGCTCGAAAATAATATCGCATCACAACGAACCACTCACAATAACTCGATTAAGTCGCTCGACTGTCCCTTTGGAAGCCCCTGCACAGCTTGTAGTATCCTTCCCGCACGATCGCTATCATAGATAGACGCGGTTAAGCCTCTGAATTTCTTCTCAACTCGCTCATGCGAAAAGGTATGCTCGTCCTCGCCAAGGGGATACACCATCGCTTCTTCGATATCGCCTATGCCACCGATGCCTGCAAACGCCATTCGCACCTCGAATTCCTTCTCGAGTTTGTCGTTGATTTCGACCTCTATCCTATCGCATAGCTGTGCAACTTGCTTGCTCTCCATCTTGTCCGCATCGTATGCACCCCAGCCGATGTCGCTACCGAATAGCCACGCAACAGCGACTTGATAGTAAATGCTGAACTGAGCATCAACAATGGTTTGGGGGTGCTTCTTGTTGGGGCTGGGCTCGCCAACGATACCATACCCAGCCCGAGTCAACCCTACACATATCCTGTCCGGCAGCTTCTGTGAGTCGGACTTTGCGGCAAGTCTTGCTGTGATTTCAATGGCGGTATGAGTGAACCGACATGCGGGAAACGGCTTCATTGCTGTCGCTGGGTATAACCATTCCGTCCCGAGGCTTTCGGTCAACCCGATAGCGTTGACATTCGCAGAGTGAGCTTGTAAGAAGCCCCACTTGCCCTCAATGATGTGGGAGGCCCCAGTCACGCCAGCCTCCGCGAGAGCAACACAGAGGAAGGCATCATGGGCGGCGAAGCCAGGATGCAATCGCTTATTCCAAGATCCATTGTCGAGAAACTGCATCGAACCAGCGGCTTTCGAGCCCGCTAGGCCAAACGCATTGTAGACTTGTTCAGACGTCAGGCCCTTGATCTTGCTGATGGCAGCAACCGCTCCGAAGATACCGGCTGTGCTGGTGTTGTGGAAGCCCCGAGGGTATCCGCCATTTGACAAGGCACGACCGAGACGCGAAGCGACCTCGTATCCAACGGAGAGTGCTGTGAGCAGTAGAGTACCAGGGGCATTTGAGGCCGAGGCCTGCGCCAAGGCAGCGGGGATGACACTCGCGCCAGTGTGAATGATTCCAATAGCAAGCGTATCGTCATAATCGAAAGAATGCGCAAATGCCCCGTTCAGCAAAGCTGCTATTTGAATGGGATAAGTCTTTTCTTTGCCGTAGACTTTACTCTTCCCAGTCGAGCCCATAGCGAAAGCCTCGACGCCCTTAATGATGTGCTCACTCGACTCCGAATGGGCACCTCCGCCGGCCCCAACTCCAATATGATCAATGACCAGATCGAAGAGTTTCGCGAGGGCTTGGTCTGGGATATCATCGAACTGAGTCCGGACTATGAAGTCGCAAAATCTCTCTGTCGCATCTTCTGCGCCTGGGAAGCAGTGACCCTATTCAATGTTATCCTTATGTGGCATGAAGCAACAGGCCATACGCGCATAGGTACTTACATTGCGATCTTGTGCCATGT